CTTGTTTAACAATATCCATAGTGGCTTTTAATTATGTACGTACTAACTCGTTTACGTTTAGCTCCATATACAGAACTACTATGAATGTTATTCTTTTCATTGATATAAGATAATGATCGCAAAATTTATTTTTAGTGAAAATATTTGCTTACAAAATAACGCTGTTTATGAAAACTAATATACAGGATGGTTGAACATTGCTATAAGTATAAAATTACATATTCAGATATTAGTAAATTTTAACATTTTTTTCGATTTTTGTCCATGGGACGAAGCACTGTGCACCGTAGTAGTAACATAGGCAGAACCGGACGAATTAGCGTATACCCGTCCGCCGGATAAAAAGCAGGCGAAAAAATGCGATAAAATAAAAATAGGTAGATATGTGATAAGAATGTTTCAGAATTTGTATTTATTCGTGTTTTAATAGCCAAAACGAATACATAGGTTCTCGCGACAGTTCTCGTGTAAAATTTATTTTTTAAGTAAAATAATGGATGTTTACGAAGTTCGTGAGAACATTCAAATTGTAAAATGGTATTTCCAAAATAGGTCTTAACGGGATACAAACAATTTTTCCACAAACTTTTGTAAACAGGCCAATTCCATCTTTACTTACTGTATCAAGAGTTATTAATAATTTTGAAAGACATGGGTGCGTGTTCCCACAAAAACACAAAATGTGTGATTAATGATGATGTGTTGATTAATGAAGAACAGGAGTTAAAGCAGGTGTTCATTTGTGCTATCGCGGATCAAAATCCCACGTTTTCAAGTAATCAAATTGCTGAGGTGGTTGTCCTGCCCACAATGCCCGTATTGTTCAAGAATATTTGAACAATACTTTTCCCAACCGTTTAATTAGTGGACATGGAACTATTTTGTGGCCCGCTAGATCACCAGATCTTTCTCCCAATGATTTATTTTTGTGGAGTTATGTAAAATTCAAAGTGTATGGTCATAATAGGGCTAATAATCTGGATGAGCTTCAAGTAAAAATACGAGAGGCTTTCCAAACTATTATGTCTAGCACAAGAAGATGGTCTTTTTGAACACTTGTTATACCTTTTTTTTATTTAGAGTAATATTTTAGTTTTTTTGGGTATAGAGAATTTATTTATTTTTAGTTTTGCCTTGTAAACACACTCAAATAATAAATATTTAAGTATTTTTATTTTAAATGTTACCTTAAGTGAAGGTAAACACTTAAAATGAAAATAATAAATACTCGGCACTCCACGCGTCGTATTCCTAGTCTGTCACGACCGACCCGTCCAAGCACAACAGCAACTGCGTACTGCCTGGCCAGCCGACTAGCCGGCAGTGAATCTCGAGTACGAACGCAAAACGGGTAAACGTAAATTCGTCCGGCAACTTGCTATGTTACTAGTAGCCTTGTCTTCTCTGTATACTGCGGTAATTGATTAGGTCAAAATTACACATACCAACATTTGCTTTTTTAACCTGGGACTCACTATACAAGTTAAACTTATTACAAATCACTTAATTTCCTGTATACTATGCCATTGATGGTATTATATATACAGATTATTACCCGACCATACCAACGGGTATGGTAGGCTATTAAGATCGGCAAAAAAAAAGTTTTTTTTAATTTCACTCAAAGTGAGTTGTTTGGATCATAAATGACCTAAATAATTTTCATGTTATCTGTCTGTCTGCCCGTCTGTCCGTCTGATTTTAACCAAATTTGGTACAAAAATACTGTGGCACCCGATAATCTGGCCATTAGTTTTTGGTGGGGGTGGGGGGTTGGTAAGGGGGTATGGGAGAGAGTTAAACATTTTAAAAAATCGTAACTCCAGAATTACAGTAGCTAGCGAAACGCGGTTTTCAATTTAAGATTAGGAATAATATTTGCAACAAAATTTGTAATAACATCAAAATCAGTGAAAAATGGGTGTTGCATTTTCAATGTCACTTAGTATATAAATATGATTTACTATTTCTTTTTAAGCATGCATCGATATACGTTTTTATTTACTAATAGGCGAATTAAAGTGAAAATAGATTGACTACTTATACACAGTGGCTCTCCAGGAAGTACATCGAACGAGCAATTGAATACCAAAAACTGATTTTTACGAGAAAACATATATCGCTGGAAACAATTCGGCTAAGTAATTTCGGTAATTTAGTAAAAACTTGCTACTCCCAAGGCGTTAAACGCTATATACGGGAACTATTATTATTATTATTAACTATTGAATTATTTTCCGAGAAATATTTCAGGATGTTTTAATCAATTTCATAATAAATTTTTCACTTGGGAGAATAAATAAACATGATTTATGTTTATGCGGTAGAAAATAGTCTCTTATAATATTACAAAAGCTTCATTTATTTCCTGCTTTTTTTGAGAGAAATTTAAAAAGATATTATCTTATAGGTTATACCTCGTAGTATAAATTTAAATTTAAAGATTTGTTGATGCTTTGTGTTCATTAGTCTTCAGTAGGAGAATAATTGGCCACTCTCTATATTGACTCAAAGAAAATAAAGATCCAGAAAAAATGTTCTCACCCAAGAGAAATTGAAGCTAACTGAGCAAAGTGAGAATCCAGTTATTGGAGAGTACCTCAAGCGTACCGTGTTTATAATTCTAGATGTGAGACCCTGAGAATAAGTTTAAGCCGAAGTTTTTAGCCGAATTATCCCCAGCAACATTAATACAGTCTTAAAAATTCAGATAGAAAGAATATATATTTTTTGATAGATTCATCAAAGTAGTACCTGGAGAGAGTAACATTAATAAAGGAAAATAACAGGAAATGTTAGTTATTCAAGAAACAGATAATTAATTTATGTCCGAAATATATTTATTATGTTGGCTATAAAAAATATTTTTCCAAAAGTTATAATGAAACGATAATCCAATTAGTACCATACGATCGAAAAATAATGGTGTCAAAGAAGGCTGGAGAATGACAACCGATTGTAATTTTGGCGATGTCAGACCTAGATGTCATTTATTTTGCATGTACTCTTCTTTATTTTTTAGTGGCGTTTACTGCCAGTTGGCCTTCAGAAGATCGTGATTTATTTTTATATTATGTTAAAATAATTTTAAATGGTGTAGTTTAAAATTTGAGTAAAAATAATATTTTAGAAATATATTTGTGTGACTGTAAATGTTCTATCCTTTTTTACTCTTTCCATAAATAATTATTGTTAATTTTTGACAAGATTTATGTCATTTTTTAGTAAATGACGTCTAAAAATTGACCTCACCAAAATTATCATATACTAGCTTTTTCCCGCGACTACGTTCGCGTTACACCTCGAATCGTTCATGCATTGATTTAAATGATTGTTTACTTCTTTATAGATAGAGCTAGTGAGCCTTACCAAATGCAATATAATATTTAAACTATGTTTTTAAGAGTTTTAGAGCTACTCGTATTTCATTTGAAAGTTAGCAGCTGGTAGATCTCGATAAAAGAAACATATTTTCTCTTTACCATTTTTCAAATAACTCCAAAATAACCGAGTAAGTAGTAATAATTTAAGTAGTTTTATTGATTTATCGATTTATTGATTTATTGATTTATTGATTTATTGATTTATTGATTTATTGATTTATTGATTTATTGATTTATTGATTTATTGATTTATTGATTTATTGATTTATTGATTTATTGATTTATTGATTTATTGATTTATTGATTTATTGATTTATTGATTTATTGATTTATTGATTTATTGATTTATTGATTTATTGATTTATTGATTTATTGATTTATTGATTTATTGATTTATTGATTTATTGATTTATTGATTTATTGATTTATTGATTTATTGATTTATTGATTTATTGATTTATTGATTTATTGATTTATTGATTTATTGATTTATTGATTTATTGATTTATTGATTTATTGATTTATTGATTTATTGATTTATTGATTTATTGATTTATTGATTTATTGATTTATTGATTTATTGATTTATTGATTTATTGATTTATTGATTTATTGATTTATTGATTTATTGATTTATTGATTTATTGATTTATTGATTTATTGATTTATTGATTTATTGATTTATTGATTTATTGATTTATTGATTTATTGATTTATTGATTTATTGATTTATTGATTTATTGATTTATCGATTTATCGATTTATCGATTTATTGATTTATCGATTTATCGATTTATCGATTTATTGATTTATCGATTTATCGATTTATCGATTTATTGATTTATCGATTTATCGATTTATTGATTTATTGATTTATTGATTTATTGATTTATTGATTTATTGATTTATTGATTTATTGATTTATTGATTTATTGATTTATTGATTTATTGATTTATTGATTTATTGATTTATTGATTTATTGATTTATTGATTTATTGATTTATTGATTTATTGATTTATTGATTTATTGATTTATTGATTTATTGATTTATTGATTTATTGATTTATTGATTTATTGATTTATTGATTTATTGATTTATTGATTTATTGATTTATTGATTTATTGATTTATTGATTTATTGATTTATTGATTTATTGATTTATTGATTTATTGATTTATTGATTTATTGATTTATTGATTTATTGATTTATTGATTTATTGATTTATTGATTTATTGATTTATTGATTTATTGATTTATTGATTTATTGATTTATTGATTTATTGATTTATTGATTTATTGATTTATTGATTTATTGATTTATTGATTTATTGATTTATTGATTTATTGATTTATTGATTTATTGATTTATTGATTTATTGATTTATTGATTTATTGATTTATTGATTTATTGATTTATTGATTTATTGATTTATTGATTTATTGATTTATTGATTTATTGATTTTTTTTTTCGATTGTACGGCATAATTATAATGTAATATTTTCACTTTTTACAATTAAAGTCCTGTTTATTATTATTATTAAGCAACTATTTCTTGAATCACTGTTTAAGTTAGAAAGAAAAATGATACGATATCGTCAACATCAAACTTACTATTCTAACACGACATTTAACCAAATCTGCGTTTCTTAATGTCTCGCCGCATTGTCGCTCCTGAACCTTATGCTTCAGCATTCTTCCACATCGTTATCTCAACGAGGACATCGTTTCCGCTTCTGCAACTAATTTCGTAATTTCTCATTCTGTTTCAAGATATACTAATTCATAAGATAATATAATAAAAAAATATTAAGTAACATTTTATTGCAGTAGTACAGGGTGTCCAATATTCGTATATTTTACAGGGTTTCTCGTTTATGACTAGAAGTACAAAGATCCGCTTTTCACATCCCTGTGCTACTTTTTTTTATAAAACTAAAGATGCCACACACAGATTTGTCCTTCCCTAGCATTTTTCTCAACCCCTCGTATCGCGGTGATCTTCTAACTTATTGAAAAGGTGAAGACTGAGTCCCAAAGACATTTTGACGTAGAATTCAGTGGCGTAAATCGAGGCGTAACTAGTTTTTTGGTTGGAAAGAAAAAAAAACTACCTTAGCTCCACAGAAGACCGAAGCAGTGTTGCCGATAGCAGAAAGGAAAACAAAGCATGTATAAATCGCCGTTTAAAACATATAAATAATAGGTCAAGAATCAGTCAAATACTTAGGAGTACATATAAATAAAAATATGAAATATGACTATGAAAGTTCATATTACTAAGACTGTAGAAAGAGCAACAAAGGTCCTAAATACCTTCGCAAGAATAATGCCCTATATAAGCGGCCCTAAAGAAAATAACAGAAGACTTCTTTACTAGTAGGAGTCATATTGACATCAAAATCAAATTTCTCATGTCAAAAAACTTCCAGACACCAATTTTCATCCAAATATTCACGTTACTTCCGAAATTATTTGGAAAAAATCGAAATAAAAATGAAACTTCTACACCCTGTATCTCAGAAACTAAGTATTTTAGGACATACATTTATACGAACTTTTTACTTATTTTTAACTGCAGAATATGCTGCCCAAGTTTCCGGAATGCAGTTCGGACCACCCTGTATAACTGTAATATTTAACCGTTTAGTAAACTTGAATAGACTTTTTTAGATTAAATTATCAAAAAGTATTAAAATTTGTCTAAAGAACATTCAAAAAGTGTCAGAAAATACAATTTAGAAATTATATATAAAAGAGAATATAAAAATATAGTTACACAGAACACTTTACATCAAAACTTACTTAAACATCAAAATATTTCATTTGAATATTGTATCAAACGTTATCAACTCTAGATCTAGGTCAACAATTTTTTAGGCCAGAAATACAGCATTTTCTAAGTTCCAAAAAATTGACGCACTCAGATAATATTAGATAATTTTTTCAGATATGTTACCTGCGCATAATATTATAAAAACACTATTTATAATAACATAATTATCACTTGAATATACTTGCCGATTCATTAATTAATACAATTAACTAACCCATTTTAACTACCTAGATACACTGTCACATAAGAAAACGGTTAAATCAAATTAAAATTCTCTGGGCCCACTTTTCCAGTTTTGCTGGATTTCACTGACCCACCACAAAATCGACGACGATTCCGCTGCCACTTTACGACATGACGTGTTGCTGTAGAGCGACAATGCGCATCGGCCATGGAGCATTCCAGGGCAAAATCCCACTCACACTGAAGGCTTCCACCCAGAAAACCTCAGAGAAAACCGCATTCAAATTTCATTGGCATTATACTGGGTCACAAGAAATTCATTGCATACCGGGTGTTTTTCAATTCACCTTCAATCTTTTTTGTTTTTTTTTTTATATGAAAAACGAGATTTGTTAGGTGAGTCTATGACATAAATCGAGATTTATTGACGTATTTAATTATTTTCGGTTACTTCCTGTTTCACCGGCTGACGTTTCCAGTTTTCAATTTTAAAAAATTGTCCCAAATAAATAAAAAATATCAAAGTTGTATTTTTTTAAATGGAACACCCTGTATATTATTACATTTTTAGTTTCTACGATTAAAATAAAGGTAAATTTGATTAAGGTTTATTATACTTAAACCTTACCGTTTTTGAAATATTTTCAATTTTGTGAAATTGCAGTAAAAATTTTAAAGCTTCATTTCTCCAAGGGTATCAATGTTTTTAATACTAAATATTTAATGAAGTTTATTTATTGATCAGTTATTATGTTGCAATAATAAAAATAATAGGTAAATATACAGAGTTTCTAAAATTTATTTTAAATAATTATTAGCTTCAAATATTTTCAATTCTTTAATTTAAATAGAATGCCCTGTATATTTTAGGAGAATCAGATGCACAATTAAATTGTCTATCAAATTGTATTATACCATTTTTTTACCTATCCCTCAAGTTTTCGTAGAAAATGCATTTTCTTATAATTTAGACCTCATTTATCAATATATCCATGGAATATTGACATTTTAGATTGTTTTTAAAGCAACAAATGTACAAAATGTACAGACTAGTAATATTATCGTTTTAGCAAAACGATAATATTACTAGCCCATTTGTATGCAAAAAAGAAAACTATTTAAATTTTTATAAAAGAGTATACCATTAATTAAATATAACACCATTATTTCCGCCCATATACTAATTAATTACATACTTAATTGTGTTCGTTAATAAATTATTATAAATAAATGTGGATTTGAGTCAGAAATCAATATAATAATAAGTTATCAAATTAAAGTCTCTGTTGTTATAAATAAGCATTTATTAAAAAATGAAATATCATTTTTAAGGTGTTACTTTTTATCACACTGTCTAATGCCCATACAAAATACAGTTTTTTAGTATTTGGAGCAATTATTATTAATCAACGCAAACAGTCAGTTACTGTAGTTTGAATACTGGAATCATATTAATTGGTCCTCTTTAACAAATATTTAAACAGTTTTTTTTATTTTTTAATGAAATAAACGAATTATATCGACAATATTAGTATCTGTACTCTTTAAAAATTTGGTACATCTTTAAAAATAATCTAAAATGTCAATAGTCCATGGGTATATTGATAAATAAGTTCTAAATTACAAGAAAATGCATTTTCTACGGAAACTTAAAGAGATAGGTAAAAAATGGTATAATATAATTTGATAGACAATTAAATTGTGCATCTGATTCTCGTAAAATATACAGGGTGTTCCATTTAAATTAAACAAGTTATTGCCGTTTGAAGCTAATAATTATTTAAAATAAATTTTTAGACACTCTGTATAAGGTAGTATTATTTTTATTATTGCAACACAATAACTGATCAGTAAATAAACTTCAGTAAATATTTAGTATTAAAAACGTTGATACCCTTGGAGAAATGAAGCCTTAAAATTTTGACTGCAATTTCACAAAATTGAAAATATTTCAAAAACGGTAAGGTTTAAGTATAATAAATCTTAATCAAATTTACCTTTATTTTAATCGTAGAAACTAAGAATGTAATAATATACAGGGTGTTACTTATTTGGGACACTCTGTATCTTGTAAAATTATTTTTAAATTGTACCTCTAATAGTCCTTCATCGAACCCAAAACTTACAATTTGTAAAAATCTCATCGTTTAGCTACAATACTCCGTGTCGTATGTGGTTAACAACCCTGTATACAAAACTGTCGATCTTTTTCATAAAACTCGGTATATTTATAACAAAGATTACTTCTAAAACAAACTAACTTCTAAAAGCTCTAGACACCCTCACAAACCGCAAGTATTTTTAGTAAGCTGTCAATAATCCTCCCCCTTGAGTATAATGCTACATTTTGGTGTCCATAAAAATGGATGCTTAAAAATAGATCTGAGGTAGTATCTATCGGTCTTCACACTCATTCGTTCACTTTGAAGAGCGGATGAAAACCTTTGGACTGTAAAACAAGGGTCCCCAAATACCGAAATATGGCAGGAGCTAAATTTTAGAGCCTCGTGGCGTTGCATAAAAGAAGAGAGAATTCAACGATCAATTGATTTAATCTAAACCTTTTTAGACTGTTTTGCACTGGAAGCAAATATCATCCCTAGACCGATACTAACCATATTTTTTTATCATACAGTCGATATAACTGTCGAATCGAGACTGTTAATATAGCTACAAAATAGTTAAACAAACAACTCGTGCTTCAAAAGTAATGCTTTTTCAATATTTAAAAATATAGTTCCTATTGTCGTTACTGGACTGTAAAATATACTGTGTTATTATTTGAAGGGTCCAGTGACCTGTAAATTTTTCGCATCGCTAAACTTGAATTAGAGCTGTTGTTATTACTGGAAAATAAAGAGACATATACCCCATCCCCCTTTCATGATATTTTAAGTAAATCTATAAACATTTGGCCGAAAGGTCAGTATATTATTAACCCTTTATTCATCACCGTATTAATTATAATTTGCTAAATGAAAAGTATATAATAGAAAGATAGAAATGTAATACTAAATGACAGACGCCTCAAAGAAACAAAGCAAATCATGAGTTTTATTTCAAAAATCCAAAAATTATACAATAAAATTGCGAAGGAATTGTTTAACAAAACACAAAGTTAGGTAAAAGCTGTGTTGATTTTTAATATAAAATACAGGGTGTTCCGTTTGAAATAGTGGAGATCTGAAATAAGGAGAAAATGAAAAAAGTCATCAATCTATCTAGTTTTGATTGTGTATCCAAACAACTTAGCAAGTTTTTTTATATCTAAAATTTAATAATCTATACTAATATATAAAATCCTTAAGTGACTGACATACTGATTAATCACGATCCTGCTCAAATCACTCAACGTAAGAAGCTCAATTTTGGCATACAGGTTGATTCTAGGGTGTAGAGGTTCGATAAGAAGGGATATTTCGAAATTCCAGTTCCAAGCGGGTTGACAATATTTTTTATTTAAAAAACGGTCAAGTTTCTGAAAAACGCTTAAACGCGAATATTTTATTTTTTTTTTACATATTTTAAGATTTTTTAAAAATGTATACAGGGTGTTTCGAAAAATCTGGTCATTGATTAATCACGATCCTGCTTAAAGTGCTTGACGTAAAAAGGTGATTTTTGGAAAACAGATTGACTTTAGGGTGTAGAGGTTCGATAAGAAGGGATTTTTCGAAACTCGAATTCTAAGGGGATGAAACTGTCCCTCAAATATTAAAAAAA